AACAGTCACCGGAAGACGTCATGCCGCGAAAGGCATGCACACATTAGGGTTCATTACGTACATATGCATCGGTTACAAGCAGCCCGGGCCGAAAGGGGCAATTTTCGCCGCCAGCTATAAGGAACACAAAAAGGTGGGAGCCCACTTTCGATTTAACCACGCCTTAATGCTTTTGTGGATGTGTATAAACGTAGGGCGGGAAAATTGCGTTACTATTGTTTGATTAGATGTAGTAAAACTATTTGCTTTATGAGAAATATTATGTGATATAGATATTAGATGAGCTTAAAGTATATATCTGTTACCAAACTGTACTTATGTCAGAAAAAACTATGCTATAAACATTTTAGGTACCGTAAGTAAGGGTTACTTTAGCTCGGGCGGGTAACTTTGTCCCAAATCAGAAAAAATATTGAACTTGCCGCCCCATCAGTATCTCTTGGGTGACCGTAATAGTTCCAGTTGAAAATCACAGATAGCCATATAGGCACGTAGTGTGGTGTTGTTTTACCGACATCGTTCCTGTATATAGTTGTCGTTGTAACGCGGGATTTTTTGTAACTGAAATAGTTCGCAAGTTCATGCGCAAACTTTCTCAAAACTGTGGTTTTCGGTAAGTTTATAATTTTTTCTTTAACTTAATTATTTTAGGGTAAAAACATTCATTTGTGTATTCAGTATGCTAATGGTGATCTGTTATAAGGGTTACTTAACCCCAACATGGCTTAAAATGAGTTTTTTTCACAGAGAAAACTCAACGAGCTAAAGTAACCCTCTTTAAGGCCAACTTTGGCCCAAAATTAAAAAAAATATATATGAACCCTTAAATATTATTTTTTCCTATTTTCGTTTTGTTATTATGTTATTTTCGTAAATTATACTTTAAAGTTTACAATGGAAAGATATAAACGTGACATATTCATCACAAAGAGAAGCTACAATTTTATTTAATTAAAAAAAAGTGGGTGCGTGTACTTATGTAGGCGCGTGAGAAGTTATCCTTCTTTGGCATCGTTTAAAATTAGTTTTTAATTGCATGCAAATAATTAATTACAATAAATTAATAAAAAGTCTGGAAAAGGACACAGTCAATAAAGTTCAGTTTTAATTTGAAAAAATAAATAAATAATCAAAATATTCAATTAAAATCGCTACTGAATATAATTTATTAGAACATATGTGATTTGCACTTGTATGAAACTCAAACACGTATTCCGAATATAAAAACTAGAAACATGTGGATAAATATTATAAATATGAAAACCTATAACTGTTACTTTATTACAAAAAATAAAGATGTGGTTTTTGGTTCTACTACACCAATGGTCAAGAGATGGCGCTGTAGTCTCCTGAATCGCGCTTTGGTTCCGTTGTTCCAGATTAATAAATACTTTTGATATTATAAATATGAATACCTATAACTGGTACTTTATTACAAAAAATAAAGATGTGGTTTTTGGTTCTACTACACCAATGGTCAAGAGATGGCGCTGTAGTCACCTGAATCGCGCTTTGGTTCCGTTGTTCCAGATTAATAAATACTTTTGATAGGCCTTCACAATGCAGTCGTTAGCACCCACTAAATAGAGATTCTATTTCTATTTTGTTGGTAGATTTTCTTAATGTGCGGTAAACACAAAAGTAACAGCATGAAGTTGGTCGCTCGCTAAAGCGACCAACTTCATGCTGTTAATTGTTGTGTTACAGTGATGCGCGCGCATCTTAAAATTTCACTCTCATCATTTTTTCATAACGCGCCTAAAGAAGTATAACTTCAAAAAAAGTGCACATTTTAGGTCAAAGTAACCCGCAGTTACTCGGTAATATTAATTGAAAAAATAAATTGTCTTCAACGGATTTAAGAGATGTCTTTGAGAGAGTTCCAAGTATTCACCTCTCAGCTATGAAGGTCGACAAAATGTATTGAGTAATTAAACCGACTACAGTTTAGCGAAAGTCTTCATAAATAATACTGAATAATATTGTGTCCACATATACAAGAAAGCTTATCAAATGTGAGAATAAAAAAAGTTACAATTTATTTTTCTATTTGAGAAGCTTTCATTTTGCCCATTAATCTACCAGGTGCTACGCCAGAATTAAAAAAAAACGAAGAAGGGTTTGTAAAACCGTTACATAGAATAAACAGAATTGGTGTCGCAGTGAATCGTCACTGTGAAGTTGTTGCAAAGATCTGTGCGATAACATCTCGACTGCATCTGTCGGGGTCCAGAGCTATAGGGGCTAGGGACAACGCCAAAGATTTGTTGCTTCGAAAAAAGCAACACTCTGTATCCCTGGAATTAGAAAGATAACCAACCGGGTCCAATGCGGGTGCTGGTAGATACCACATTTATCTAGAGCCGAGAACAATGCTTAGCATCTCGTAACTTGGAAATTGCAGTTGCAGTTTGATCATCCTTGTGAACGTTTTTCCGGAAAAGTGTGCGTTTGTCATTCGAACGCCAAGCCACGTACCTTCAAGAGCTGATTTTAATTTGCCAATGTCACTACAAAAGTATACGACAGAATTTTAATGTAAATTTTATTTCGCCGGCATTTTACGACGTTTATAATACTCAAGGTACCTGAATACAAAACACATGTAGATGAATAATATGTAGATCGGGAGATAACGAAACGTCCATCCTAATTCAATTTCCGCTATATAACATCGGTACACGTAGTTTTTGTTTTCTATTAGCCGCGGTGCTTGTAAAACATGAAATCCCCAAACAATCAAGGCTTAGTGGTACACAAACGACGTATCTAGCACAATGGCCGAAACTTGCAGCCCTCTAATGAATAAAAAACGCTGGTGGCCGACCGGTACCACGATATAGCCATTCCTCGCTTGGCGTACTTTGAATTTCGGAATTGTATTTAGGTAGTCGCTTGTTTTAGGGGTTCGTGGTAGCGGGGCAGGTAGGGCATGTGGCGAGATGGCGCGATAAGAGGAATTATTCATACGCGCGTTATCGGTCCGCCATCGCTGGGGCCATTGTGAACGCGGCCTAACGCGAGGGGTGGCTCCCGGTTGTCGCAGACGCTGTCACAACGTTGTTGTGTATACCCGGCCTAATGTGACGCCAGCTCGATTGATTATTGTTTTATTCGTGTTATTTAAGCAGCAATCGATGAATGGGTCCCTTGTTTATTGAAAAGAGGTTGGTCCACTTGGAAGCTCATACAAAATCTTTGTGTAAACAATGAATGAAATTCGATCATAAGTAAACTTTGAGCTTTTCCTGTACTTGCTCAATGGTTCGCAACTGCTATTTTTAATACAAAAGTAATGAGGTTTTACGCTGTAAGTTCTTCGTTTGTGTTTTCGTCAGTCATCTAGGGTTCATTCCCCTTGCTGGGCCGCGATGTACGGGTGCCCTTGTGATAAGCATCGCCGATAATCTCGGGCTGTGATCGACACCTGGTTGCGATGCGATGCGGGCCCTATCATGGTACTAACTACATACTATAAAGTTGCGCACTTTGTTGCGATTTTTGTGTCCTTCTTAGTATAGTAGAAACATTGGCTGTTTATTTGATTTCAAGCCTGTGGTTCACAATCCGTGTTTATTTAGTTGTATTGATACGAAAGTTGAATGACAGTGTAATGTCTTAATATACTTACAATAAAATTGCTGGTACTTTAAGTCGTATAAAGTCACTGAGTCCACAGAACAATTATATTAGAATGTGTGACTGTTTGTTGCCTCAAAAGAAAAAAGGGAGATTTAATTCGATGGAGACTTTAGAACGTAGCAATAAGAAAGATGATCGTAAAGGGAGTATTTATATTGTCATGGCTATCGCATTTGTAGATTATAATAAATGTTTATTAAACAACTGTATTAATTTGACTATAGGTACCATAATACGCTTCATTTATCTATAGAATTGTTAATAACAAATTTACATAGATTTCTACCTAAAGAGATTGCCCGTACATTCTCACAGGATTGTTATTTAATCTGTATCCAATCTAATAAAGGTTTCGCGGTGCAAACTGGCTATTAGCTACCCGCAGGGCACCGCGGGCCCTTCCCGTGGGGCCAAGGGATATGCCCCTACGACAACTAACCAATCGCCGAATGGAAAGAATATCATTAAAGTGCGCACCCTCTATTCTGTACATATGTTTGCTTTCACTTTAAATAATAATTGTCGAATGCTGTTCGTGGAATTAAAAAGGGGGAGATCGCTGCGTGCGGGGATGGACAAATAATTGTTGCCAATATTAACCCTTAAGCGTTTGTACTAAAATATACACACATATATAATGCTTTATGAGCAGTCAACATTTAGGTAATATTTGAAGGTAATACTACTATTTTGTAATAAAAATAATTCAGTTAATCAAAATCAGCATTAATGTGGTGGGCAAACAAATCAACGTAGTGTATCATCAAAACTGACGCTACTATATACATAATTAATGAAATTTCCAACTGGCCTACTATTTTAATTGCCCGGTGTTGTGACACCACACTTTTGAAACGTTTCGGAAAAGAGCGGCCTTTTGTTCACGGACGCAGCGAACGAGATCATAGAATAATACACCTACCTACCCATTATTTGTTTATCAAATACACATTAGAGTAGCGGCATTCACGTCTTTTTACAAACTTCGGGAATGAAGATGTCGTGTGAAAAGGCAGTTGTTAGATAAAATGATATTAATTTAGACAACCGCGGGCGTGGCTACAAAACGCCCTCAAATTGTCCCTCTAATGACGCTAGGCTTCAATGTTTCGCGTTCACGTCACAATGACTCGCGTATCACTAGATCTCCGACTGCTATGATAATGGTCACTTAAACGCTCGTAAAGTTTGAGAGGTTCAGGAAATCAAATGATACTAATGTCAACGCAGTTACAAACACGGCAACTTTTAATATGATCACATTTTGAAATTCATAAAAACACGAACGGGAGCTTTGTCCGAATTTCGTAACATGTTATGGTTTCGTTCTCGTTTTAATTACAGTATTGCGTTTGCAGGTCGGACGCTGAGCGGCGGGAGCGGGCAGGTGTGCAGGCCGCACTTCCACACGCCGCTGCACCCGTGGCTGGAGTCCAAGGCGTTAGGCGGTGGCGCGTGGGGCAGTGGCTTCCAACAAGATGGTGCTCCCGCCGACAAGCCCCTGTCACCTGCGCAACACCACCATCCCCATCCCTTATTCTCCTTTCCTCCCACGCCGCCGAAAGACTCTACGCCAGACTCCGTGGCGGCGGCGGCATTAGGGCAACAGGACTACCAAGCGGCTGTGGCGCACGCGACTGCCATGAGCGTCGCCTTCATGCAGCAGCAGGAGCTGCCGTTGTGCGGCGACGTCAAACCTATGATGGGGGCGCCACCATCGAAGCAACGCGAAGGTGCGCAGCCGGACTCGTGCCCCCAGGAGTCGAGCCAGCCCTCCGGGGAATACAACGCGCAATACAACGCCGCCGGCGGCGACTACTACAACTACCAGGGGAAAGGGTTTAGTGGGGCGCAGCAGCAGAATAAACCGCGACCTAACAAGACGCGGACGAGCGCCGGTGAGTCCCCGCGGACTACTACTTATTGCACCGCTCTGCACTCGTCACTCGCTGGACGCTTATCCGATCACAAACACCTTAATGTTTTTTAACACTGAAAAGTTCGACAGCCACAAGGCTTTCACTTAAATCCATTGCTGTCTTATCAGATAAATAGCCAGCGTGCGCTGTGTTCGGCTCTCGTGAAACGAAGCCTTTACAAAATGGCTGCCTGGATAGTCACTGCGTAATTAGAATCTCAGTGCAGATTGTCTCATCGACAATTGCGATTTATTAATTCGATAAACGGAGCGCGATTAATATTTCATTTGGACATTCCAAATGTCGAAGTCGAATAATTTTGTCGGGAATGTGAGATGTGATCGGATAAGCGTGGTTCTTGCACCGGGGTTGTGGCGCCACACGTTCTGTCTGTTTAACAATACGGCATCGGGTACTAACTGGATTGGGATTTGACGATGTTGATTATCGCTTACTAACGCTGACGGTGGAGGTTACTAACGACTCATATTTTTTTTTACTAGTACTAAACAATTGGCCCAATATTTTCAAGATTTGTTACACTAATTGGCATGACGGGTTTTCCAGACACGTCTATTATTCCGTTTTAAGTAGGTGTTTGATTAAATTTCTCATGGTTAATCACTGCTAGCTATTACCGTGGTCGGTTTTGGAGCGGTCGGGCGCAAGCTTCATTGTTACCCGACAGTAGGTGTACATGTGAACGGGCGGTCTCTTGTGATGTCGACCGTAGAGACTAAAGTGGTTTCTCATTATTTATTTCCAAGTCGCCATTGTTTAAGAAGCGCAATTAGACAAATGCTCTTAAGTAAATTCTATTAAATTTCAAGTTTTAGAATTAGATGATAGTTGCTGATTCATTCTTTTGCACTATTCGTAAAAATACGATGACTAGGAAATTCATACTAATATATATCTACTTACGTTCAAAAGGCTAAAGTTTAATGTAATAGACACTGTCTTTAGAAGGATTTGAATGTGTACAATAACAATTTGCAAGATGGTATTGCATAGAGCATTTTCATAAAAGTAAACGCGATATCGTAGCAATAATGAGAGTAAAGCAAATATGTATCTAGAGTATGTATGCATCCAGAGCAGACAAGGGTCCCTTTTGCAGTGTTCTTAACGTGACCTTTGAATACTAACGTGAACATTGTTACATTTGCGAGTTTTGCAATAGCAACATACCAGTTACGGACACTACAAAGAATTACACAACAGCGATTGTATTAGCACCACATAATGCCGCTTTATTTTATATTTAAAATTGTAATTATGAATCTCATAGTTAAATTTTGACAATGGACGGGAACCGAAAACGGCCAGCGTATTGTCTTTTATTAATATAATGAATCAGCAGAATTATGCACAATGAATGCTAATATAGATCAACCAACATTGAATCGAAACTACCGTTGCGATTATGTTTATTCAATATTTTGTGAAAATTCAAGTGTATTCTATTAAGATGTCGTTGTCTCACGGAATGACAGCGGGTGCAGATAGCTCGGATTTCTCAGGAGATAACTTATTGAAAAACGAGACGTAATGTTAATTACGCTCAGTGAAGACTCTGAAGAAGACATTTTTACTTCAAATTGCCGAGTTCCGGGTGCGATGAATGAGAGACAGCATAATGGTTCGTACACGCTAGAACTGCTCTATTCCCAAAGAGATTTTCTTTAACCGTGGTGACAATGAAAGCTCTTTAATTAAGACTTCATTAGATGGTTTAGATAAAAAAATAATTAGCATGTCAAAAAGCGGGTGTGATTAGAATCAACTATTCTAAACTATCTTAATTATTGGTAAAAGATACTAGAAAACTACATTTGGAAATCATCCTTATTTAAAGTACACATCTCTGATAAAATCAACAAAACCTTGAAGATTTATCTAGATTTTAAAAGTTACAGAATTAATATAACAAATGGAAGTAAGATAAGGAACTTATTTCTTTCGGACAAAATTGGAGAGAAAGAATGGAACTAAGCAGATAAAACTAATTAGAGTGAGGATGTTGCCTTGAAAATATATGTAGATAGGGAAGTAGAAGCCTTTGCAATTACTATCAAAGCATCCTGAAAAGGTTTTCACTTCATATTAGGTTGCTAGAAAAAGAATCAAGTTTTGGTGAAGTTGATAACGTAATTAAAGACTTTTGTCAGGACTATGGTAGTAAGAGATCAATTTTAAAAATAATAGAAAAATATAATTAAAATAGAAGACAAATAAACAATTGTATAGGTGCATAAGACAAAGCAAACAGTTATAGAAGATATGACTCTACTAATCTCAGTAAAGCGTTATCTGTTCCAGTTTACACAATACCACGCGTCGTTAACCAGTTTTTGTCCAGCGCACTGTATTCTCTTTAATTGTGGTAAAAACTTAATAGGCGATAGGTACGCTACTACGCCATGTGTAATTGGAAATTGCCTATTAACTCATTTATTTAATTAATCGCCGATTGTGTTTACGGTGATAACATTATAAGCGATGTTAAATGAATAGTGCTGTTTTGATGATTACACGAATATGTAAATGGCAACTGAATGCATGACAATTTAATTTTTTGAAGCTTAATTGAAGATTTTTAACATACAGCTATGCTAAAAAAAATGGCAAGCAAAATATGACGGGAATATGATTGCTAAATTTTAAAGTGATTTCTATCAGGAACATGAGTTTCTCCATTTTGATAATAAATATTAATAGTAGTACGACTAAACACAAAACATAATTCAAAAATCTTTTCCGCAGTGCACTTGTTTATTGCCTATCCTCGAATAGCCTGTAGCAATAAAACGTTATAAAATGCAGACCCTTCAAACGCTGGTGCGTCAGACCACAGCCACCAACTCCTTGGTGCAAACGGTGTTATGATAATAAGTGCCGGATATGGCTCATTCCATTGTTGCCGATCGCCTGACCTCGGCCAGCTTGTATCTGTTAACAACAAACGGATTGAAAGAAAAATCATTATTAAAGCTGCTGTTATATCATCCTTTTGAAACTTTGTTTCAGCGACCTTGTCCAATCGTTTTGTTACCCTGTTTTCACTTAGATCTTCTACAAGAGTGCGTAGTCCTATTTATATGGAACCATGAGAGTTGACTTATCATACATTTTCCAGGGAATAGAGGGCCTTAAACATATTAGGATTTTACACTTTTATCCATTCTTTATCTTAATGTTCTAAAACAATGAAGGCGTTCATTTTTAATATCCCAAGCGTGCCAGGCGTTTGCGCCTTATTATCTCATAATTAAATTCATTGTGTTAGTCGTGATATAAATTGATTTCGTACACCAGTTCAGTATTAGAAGAATGCCAAGGAAAGGGCAATCTAAATAGCACGCGGTCAGTCACATTCTCAGCTTGCTTTATAGCTATAACATAGGCTATTTCTTAACAAACTGCTCCATTCAACACTTTCTAAAACAATGCTACGTTCACTTTAAATGGCATTTAAATTATTCCATAGTTTTATGTTCTAATAACGATTCAAATGCAGGCTGCATTGTCTAGTTGTGTTGCAGTTCCGAGTGCAACGGTAACTTTTCTGTATTGCACATAGTTTGCCCGACGATGTTAGTGATACTATTAACTATGGGTGATTTTATAATTAACCATAATATTTTGAAATTTAGTTTGACCTGTTTGTGAATTACAACGATTATTCTTTGTTACAAAAATATTTACTAACAATGTGCGTTGTGAAATGTTAGCGATACGGGTCGATGAGTAAAAGGAATGATGTATGTTAGTGCTGATTTTTCTCGAGGCTGATTTAGTTTAGCATATTTCACATGATCATATTAAAATCTTTGTAATTTAAATTTATTTAGTAACGTTTCAGTTCCTTACGAAGTTAAACAAAGTGGCTTCTTAAAATAAACTCCAAACGCTTAATGAACATTTACTACGTCGAAAAAATTAAGAAGGAAGTAAGCTGTCCGTTTAGCCTTCATCTTTGAAAAATTATATGTATTGTTTTGTTTTGTTTTTAGTTTCGAATAAACTGCTACATGTAATTCCATGGCTTCTATATGTATGGAATCTATACCCATGGCTTCTATACTTGGGAATGGGAAAGGCAATATGAATATAAATCCGTTTTCATTATATTTCATAGATTGGATTTGTCTCACCAATCTAACTTAAATCAACAGTCGTGCGAGTCCATGAATTAGACAACCCATATGTACTTTTGCACATAAAATCAGCTCCTAAACTTACATTATAAGCATATTATATGTAGCTATAGCGAGCTCGTCACGCTCTGCCGGCCGGCACAATTGCAATCAAAATTTGCATTTTACGTTGGACGTCCGCTAGTTGTACTGATTAATTGAATTATTAACAAGCGTTAGGACAACGATTGTAAATCTCTTTAGGGCTGCGATAGGTAAGCAAACAATGTTGCATTATTTTTTACGTAGAAAACAATTATGTTAAAGATTTTTATAGAGCATCTTAATCAGGTTGCCATGCCAGAAGAGCTCGTTTGTGTAATGACAAAATTAGACCGTTGCTAGTAACCGAACGACATCGGAATGCTAACAGTGTGTTGGTCATCTCATGGCTAGTACTTAGTAATTACGCGGAGTTCACTACAACCCGGATTGATCTCGTCACACGCAATTATTCCTGTATGCTAATAGCAAATACTAGTTGCGGGCCACACGGGCAGACCCGGGCTGCGTAGGTATTGTGCGAAATTGCTTTATTCCTCGCTCAAACGTCACTCTCAACGAAATTAACAAAAACAATTAACGTTTGCGAGTCAACGACTTGAGAACACTCTTCTTTTTGTTCGTCTACGGAACAGCACAATGCTCAATAAAAACGGAGACCCAGCGCGAGACCATCGGCTACCATTAAAATTTCCTATTTGCATACGAGCATATAATTAAGGCGTAATAACAGCCTCTGTGGCGCAACAGAGAATAAGTTTTGAGCAATAATTTAATGGTTTGTATGCAAAATAGCCTCACCGTTACGTGTTGATGGGCCGATGCGCCGAGAGAGCGCGTCACGGTACACGGGAGCGAATTAGTCCTTCATTTAAATTACATTACCCCAGTGCACATTAGCGCTGTACGTGACTGTGCTCGTGTTTTTGCGTCGCGGTTTCATTGAGTAGTAACGGGCCGGTTTTACGAACGCATCGATAGTTCTAGGGTAGTCACTCTAGTGGATTCCACACCCTCAGCTAAATCGGTTCGCTGCAGTACCGCACTGCGCCGCTCGCTCGGTGAGATGTTTTCCCAACGCTGCTGCGGCGTGTGAAAACTCCGCTCTCCGCCGAGGGCTCGCAGGGACTCTCGAAACATAAAAACCGCCCACTCGGCCACGTAAATATGGCAGATGAAAATCTTTTATCGCGGTCACGTAGCGCCGCCGCGTCACGAGCGCACGTCACTCCGGGCTATAAAGACCGCGCCGCATTCTAATTTTGTACAAACAAGAATTTTTCGCTCAAACGACTCACTTTCAGGATCGCTACTATCAGGCCGAGTACCGCAACGTGCGCTTTAGGACATATCTTTATTGCTTGTCAAAATCACGTAGAGTGTAACAGGCGCGAGATTATTCGATAGTAGAAACTTCAGGGGAAATGAAGAAATAACTCAGCGTGAACGTATTAAAACACAGTTATCACTGTGATTGAACCGGATTGAACAATTATAACGTATAGTTATTAATCAGAAACGCTGTTGTCTTTAATAATACGTGTAATGTCGATGTATGAGAAGCGAGCGGCTGTAAATCTCGGAAACGCCAGCCGCCGCCCGCGGCCGCGCCGACTTTCACAAGCGTTTTTACCAATAGAGACGTTACTATTGGACTAAATCAGTCCACGAGCTAGAGACATCGCTATAAAACATCGTGTTCGGTGTAATATCCTGTTATTTTTTCCTAATAATCGTTATTGGTGTTTATTTATTACGAACTCGGAACAAATTACAGGCTTTATCGACGGAACAAAAAAAAAGTAAAGGGTTAGTCCAAAAAGTGAGTCGTCGCTTCGATCGCAATAAGTTTTCGATAAGGTCCGGACGATTTAATTGCCGGTTGTGATCTGGTTTTACATAAAAAAGACGAATGGCCGCTTAGCCTCGAGCTTATAAAACCTTTTTGGGTACGTTTTAAAGTTTTTTCTATGGGATATTCGATCACTTTCACCTTCCTGTTGCGATCCTCGCGTTTATTTATTCAAAGCATCGACCGCAGTGTCTGGAGACGCCGATAATCAGATCGAGATAGGTGTAACTATAGTCTCACAGATAGTCATTCCGTCGGCCGATAGTGAAATGTATTTGTTTTTTTTTCTGTGGACGGCTAAACTGGCAGTAATGATATTTACCGTAGTCGTTTTGCCGTGTTACACTGAGTCGTTAGGACGCGTGGAACCTCTTTAAGAGAGGATGCGAAGGTGTGTAACGAGATTCTAAATTCGATCTCGGTAAATCATTGATCGTGTAATCGAGTTTAGAGATATTGTGGGCGGTACAGGCGCTTCCCATATGCGAGCGCATCCTCTCACTAACCACGTGAAATTGCTCGTTTCGTTGGGAAGAAATCAATTATGACGGTGAATTTTGGAAAGCGTTTCCCCGGAGGACGGCTCATCCCGGGGTTTAAGTCCTGTATGAAATTGATTTGCATGACTTTTGAACGCATGTCATTTATCGTAACATTCAAAGCTTGACGTAGATTGATTTATAAACTGATTAAGATGTAAGCTTTATTAGTTGAAACGTTAAAGGTAGAGAGATTTGTAATTTGACTCGGTTCATGGATGAGATGGTATTGCTTGCGTTGAAAATTGTTTTAGCCGTGTACACGTCTACATGTGTGTACAATTACGTGTAGCGAAAATTAGCATGTAGGTAATGTTTTACTTTATAACTCTGGTTCCGCTCTGTTTCCCTGCTAGACGCTCTCGAATATTTTTGCAACAAATAACTTAAGTATTTTATAGCGAATCGCTTTTGTTGCTTGTGTCATAAATATCTTTCGGTAGATTCATGCGTAATTGATTTGTAAGTAGCTCTCTATTCATTTACTCAATTAGCATATCCATATCAGTTTTTTTCCTAGTTAATTGATTATTTTCATTCCATAAGAAAATTATCATTTTATCTGACGCAAATTTTTAAAACTGCATGTTTGAACGGGTGAAAGAAATGTTTAGTCAACAGAAAAATTAGTAGTAAACTCGAACCCGTTGTTCATAGTTTTCATGGGTTAATCTTATAAATTCTTTATTGTTATGCAAATCGTGAGGGCTAATAAAGTACGGCTCGTTATAGTCCAAGTGTACGTTTGCCTAGTCCACAGGCGGCGGTGTGAACGCCCAACATTACTTTCTCCAGTTTTCCTTTGCGTGTAAAAAATCTTGATATTTTTTCCCCCCGAGTGAAACTCTCCGCTTTCCCTAGTTAATGGATATTTTACAATTTTCGTTATAATTGCAATTATGTACGTTGGCTGAATAAGAGTCGTGAAACATTATGCGGTATTTTTATGTTATGATGTATACTGTATGTCGGTGTATTGTTGCATGTATTATATGTAATGTATGTACTCATTAGTGATATTCGATTTGTAATGTTTCTGAATGTGATTTTTTCTCTCATCTTTCTCAGCCTGCCAGGAGACAGGTAATACACAATTATAACAAAACAACAACGCTTTATTTCGCTTTAACCGTATTTATGTTTTGTTAAAACACGGTGGCAGTTTCTTCGTTTTATTATCGCTCTTCTATACATGCAGTTCTGTAAATTCACTCAACATAATATTTTTTGTTATTACAAGTAGAAATTCATTTCACATTCAGTAAAATCAAGGTTTGTTAAATTTAATTTTGTAACGTTCTACCTATCTGTCGGAATAAATATCCAGCATGGTTATACTTAGTAGTCAGTAAATAAAGCTAGGTCCTGACGGTGCGACCGATTGTAACGCGACTTTGTCTACGGCAGAGGGTCGCGAGTGCGTGAACTGCGGCGCGACCAGCACGCCGCTGTGGCGACGCGATGGCACCGGCCACTACCTGTGCAACGCCTGCGGCCTCTACTACAAGATGAACGGCCAGAACCGCCCGCTCATCAAGCCCAAGCGAAGATTGGTGAGTGTAAGAATCCGACCAATTTTATTGTATTAGATCTCTCTCAGCATCGTTAGAGCTGCGACATTTCGAAAACATCAAAATTTGTCGTTGTTGTTTAATGTGAGATTTCATCGTGTATATCCCTAATAAAAATGTGTTATTGGTTTTGTATGAGCAGCACGATAGCTTAGTGGTAAATGATAATCAAGTAAATTAAGCAAAGGTGCCATTGAAGGTACGCAAAGGTGCTGGTCCCGGACTCCCGGCTGCGTTCGCTAGCATGAGTACCTGCAAACTAGTTCTGGGTTCATGTGGTGGGTTTTGGGGCATTCTTCCTATTTGGCTGTGATCGTAGGGAAGAGTTGTGCCTCAGAAGTATTATTAATTGGCCTATGAGTCATCATCAGTCTTTAATATGCCAAGTAAAAAGGACACATTTTTTGTGACCATAAAATTTAGTTGTTATACTTAGCGACGTACGTTTATTTTTTAGTTATTCCAAGATCGAGTGATAAGTTGGTAGAAATTTCAAATTAATGTCGTTTGGACGCATTTAAACAAAACGGCCTGCGCCGGTTTCACATCACCTAGTAGGTAGTTAGTGGGTACGCTTGTTATTTTAAACATTATGTCAGAGATAACATAGTTATAAGTAGGATTTCGAGACAGCATCTACAATAATGGGTGTTGTTTACAGTTAAGGGGCAGTAATAAAAAGGCGGGGCATGCACGCCCGCGCACGACAACACCGCGCACTAACTCCCACAAATTGGGCACTTATATGAAAGTTGAACGTTTCAACGAAAGAGCTGTGCGTCCGCCGAACTAGTCCGCGCGACCGCCATAAATCTTCTGGTTAACATTTAATCTAAGGCTGGGCACGCATAAACTGAAACAATGCGACATTCGGCCGGCGTCACGTCGCATCGGACCCGCGTGTCGGTTAACGAGTGTCCCGTGCGCGCAATTGTACATACAATTTACCTTAATACCCGTCTCGCAGACATAAACTAGCGAAATGGCATGGAATATTTGCCTTTTGTTGGCCAAATTACGTAATGCCCCGCAACGTTATGGTTTCATTGCAACGCGCCGCCTATTACAGCGTTTCACGTAGATGGCTTCCATGGCGGGCTGGTGAGCGTTTTCTGTTTAAGATTATGGAGGTTAAATGACTATTGCAATGGCTAGTCACTGGAGGGGTGGCCAAAACTTTCATAAGTTCTTCGGTACCTAGGCATGTTAACTGAGCATTGCCGTCAAAAGTTCCCAAACCTGCTTGACCATTGATTTAAGAAAGCACGTTGAACCGTTATTCTCAGCTACCTATTTTCAGGTTATCGTCTCGACAAATCCTTAGATTGAAGGCTTATCGTATATCATGTTGAGACTTCTCAATTCCAGTTATAATTACAAAATGTATGTTAACAAATTAACATAATTGGTAGAGGAGCGATGCGACTTTGTATAATAATTTTGCGTCGCGCGTCGCCGCTGCCATCACATAATAGTCATGGTTTTTAAACCCGGATGCCGCAGCCGGCGCGGACTTAATATTAAAATCACTGTACTGTACACAGATACCGTTAATGCGCCACGGAAAAGATTGAATTCTCACTTTTATTTTCACTGTGAGAAAACCAGACAATGGTTAATACCTACTACTGTACAAACTAACTAATTCTGCAGCATGATACGTGTTGTATACAAGAAATTTTATACATTAAAATTATTTTAAGGTTTGTTGGAGATTATCTAAAAACATTTTATAGTCCATAGATATGAAACAAAGGATAGTAAAAAGTGTAAGAATAGGAACACATAATATTTAGAAGAACTCACAACCACTATACTGGTATATTGTGGGAGATTCGAAGATCAGTCGTATCAGCCAAATTTATGCGAATGTTTCGAGTTATTTTTTTATATTGTTATTTCATCAAAAATGTTAATTGTTGATCTTATCAGGACATTAGAAGCTAACAGTATTCTTAACAAAAAGCACATCCAAATTCACATTGCATAAAAATTTTACCAAAACAAAAAGATACAATAAATTTCTAAACTAGAGTAACATTAGCACGCAGTTATGCATTGAAGTACAGTTAACTAGAGTTTTTTTTATCGCATGTATAGTATTTTTTTAATAGGCAACTAAATCAAAACTGTTACGTCAATAGAGTAACATGACGAGCATAATTAATTCGCCGAACCAGTACACAGCAATTAAAACGTCCATTAAAAAACTGCAACCTTGCTCGCTCGCTCAGTACCTAATTGGACAAAACGCCGAATCACAACAATGAATTAAACACATTTAATTCTTATTCATAATAATTGGACCAGTCCAATTATACGAGTGTGCACTTGACACGATTTCGGAGATGGGAAAACTCATACAATACGCTGTCATTATAGTCTCATGTATGAGTGTGAGTTGAACAATTGGAAAATAATTCGCATCACTTAATAAAAATTTGGCATTAAGCCTTGTGCTTAAAAAATGTTTGATAAATTAGTTTGCAAATGACCTTTATAATACCGGCGCTGAAACGCACGCAACTTTTCTGTTATTATTTTTTTCTTGTTTAAAGTATTTTAGTAATATCTACATGGAGGACTGCGTTTTTTGAGTATCGCTAACTAATGTATAACACTGCCATGGTGGTTTGTCGTAAACTTAAATTATCTTAAAACAACATTTCAATTGTAAAGCGGTTGAAAAAGCAAAAGCAAGCAAATACAGGGGTCTAGGCTACGAATATTATTTAGTTACATTTGGTGTCGAGACCCTTGTTCCGTGGAGTCCTAGAGCTTTAAGGCTATTTAAGGAAATAGCAAAAAGTTTAGTCGATATCACAGGAGACCGAAGAGCTGGCAGCTACCTCGGACAAAGAATTAGTTTAGCCATTCAAAGGGGTAACGCTGCAAGTATCTTCGGATCCTTGCCTAAAGGGACTTCTTTGAATAATATATTTTAGTTATTAATTTTATTTTTTAAGGTTTTTAGTTTTAGTTTTATTGGTCTATTATATATATATAGAGTAATTATGTAATTAGATTGTTATTTTATTAAGAAAGTTAAAATTGAAGTAATAAAGTCATATAGGATAGAAAAAAAAATTTACAACTGGATTATCTTAAGTTTTATCTTATCAACCTAGTACATCAAAATATCAGTGAGAATGGTATGCGAAACATGTCAGTTGCCTAGCCTACAACGGAACGTTAAATATCTATAAATATATCATTAAAAATGTAAATAGAGTAATAAACTGGCGTTAGTAGCTAACATTGTAATTATACCACGTTTTGCCACCACGTTGTTCTGACTAGAGATGGCTCCCAGATAAGGTTTTTATTATACAACCTCAGTATATTTTTAAATTCTTAATTTTGACAGAATATAAACGAGAGAGCGCGCATATCAAACGCAATGTGGGTATGAAGTTATTTAAATTTATTTGTGAGCGAAAATAGCTAGCAAACTAGATGACAATACGTTTAAAACAATTATATACAAAATTATAATTTAAATTGCCTTTGTGTGGTTGGATTTAAATGTATTAAAAAGTTTCAGAGCTTCTCACGAAGATTTGAATCGAAAGAGGGTATAAATATTTTCTTTTGTTATTGTGTAACGTGAAAATAAATAATGTGGTATAATAAATGGCAAACAAACAGCACGAAAGTGGCAAGACTGTTACTTTTCAGATGTTGTAAAGGCTCTTCTACACTAGTGCATTATTCATAATTCACTGTTTTATTAATCCAGTTATTTTCTTATTAAATAAATAACAAAGTACTAAGACTGATAAGCGTTTATCTTATTTCGAATATCTGAGAAGTACGCGTAAAAACTTCTCATTTAACATTGTAGTTATTATAAAACGAAGAAGAAATGTAGATAATAAATACATATTAGAAGAAATTCAACACATCCATACATACGGTTTCGATAGTTTATTGGACAGTGCATATTCTCCAACAACAAAGGATTCCGGTTCGAATACAGTCTGTTATTGCGTCTTGCAAAGCCTTGCTTTTTTTCTAGTATTTTTTTTATTTTAAAGCTTACAAGATAAATAGTCAAGGAACTTTGTATAATTTAAAGCTTTGAAAAGTTAATGTTAGAAGATAAGCAATTGTAAAATGTATAGAGTCACGATAAAACCGCTATCTCAGACGTATAGTACCAGCGCATGGATGTATACTTCCATATTTAATGCTAAAATACAGGTCTGCATTGCTAAGGCTAGCTGGTTAGTAGTTACTAGTTTAGATCTTAAGAAGGGGGACAGGCAGGCAGTGCCTCCAAGCGCGTCTATAAAATTTCGCATGGGTAATTGAGTGCACGGGAAAGCGTTGCAAGTGGCGTCCAAAGATAGAAGCTTCTTGAATAGAAAAAAATAATCATAACTGCAGTGATATTCTTTAAGAACAAACTCACTTTTCACCTCGGGATCCGCGGTGTCATTTAAAATTAGAACACGAATTTCAAATCACATTTCACACCAGCGAATCCCGCGGTGAAAAGTGAGTTTATACTTACAGAATAGCACTACGGTTTTGTATTCATCATGTTGGGGCACAGCTTCCCTATGGACGGACGGAATAGAGAGACCAGGTCATGAACTACCATGTGAGTCACGTGCAAATTGGTAATGCTAAATACTATAGATACAACGGATTATCGTGCCTCTTGAAATACTCAGAAGCTTAAGGTTGTAAATTTTTGGTCTCTCATCCTTTAAATAGAAATTGCAGAAGCTATTATACTTCCATGTTAACAAATCAAATGTTTTAGCCATTACGCCAGATTGTCGGGATTTTTATTGCATACCGTCCTGGAACTAAGAGGAAATGGGACAGCTCGTTGAAGTCTTTTATACCAAAAATCTAGATTATGTGGAAAATTGTTGCCTATAAATTCATTGTTCGCGTCATGATTGATCCATTTGATTTTATTAAATGTGTCTTACAAATTATTTTTCCAAAAAATATTTAACTAAATAAGTTGTGAC